TTTTTTTTTTTTTTGTTTTTTTGTTTTTTTCGTTTAATAATATTACAAATTAATTTTAATAATATACCAGGTTTAAGAAATGAAGCGGAACTTATCATTAACAGCTCTGGTCCTAATATTTTGTATGATTTTTACAATATTAATGCATCATTAATTCCGCCACCAATGGGTTAGATGCTTGTGTATTTGTGTGTTTGTGTGTATATATGTGTGTGTGTGTATGTGTATGTGTGTATGGGTGCTATAAAAACGTTAAAATAATTTAAAATACGGCATTGAAACTTGATGTCTACGTTTACGTCTTAAGTTAACCTCTTTAGATTAAGTTTGAAAATAAACTCAATCCGTTTTTAGCAAATACTGAAACCACGGACTATGAAAACCGAACCGCAGAATATTAAAAGAACAAAAAAAAAAAAAAACAAATGGTTTACTAAAATGCAAAAAAACATTAAGGCAAACATTGACAAAAAATGCTTAAGAAAAATATGCGTTTTATTTATTCAGTTTGTCGTAGAGCTTTTATGCAATGAATTGAAGCTACAGGTACACAAAAATATTCTTTAATTCCCAGGTGGCAGATATTCAATCATTCATCCGTAGACGAGTATATGTACAATTTTTGTAATTTTCGTAATTTTTTTTTTTTAATTTGCTTATTAGTAAAATTTTATAAATAATATCAGAAGAAAAAAGATTTCATATCGTTATTTATGTTATGTTTAGAATTATTTAAAGCTGTGAGTTTGCGTATGCATTTATTTGTTAATAAATATTAATTTCATTATTTATTTATTTATTTTTTTGGTTTTGTTTTTTTTTTTTTTTTTTTTCTTTTTTTGTTATTCAAATATTTATTTAGCTTAATATTACTTCTTACCGCTTAAGAAGATAATTGCTATGTTATTTTTTTCCTAAATTTTTTTTTTATTACTTTTTTAATTAACCTACTTACTCGTATTTATTTCATAGAAAGAATTATTTCGTTATTATAATCAACTTTAGTTATTATTATTAATAATAGCCGATAATTAATAATAATAAAAAAATATTTTATATTTTTAAGAGTGTGTGTAGTATTTATTGTTATTATTATTATTATTATTATTTTTTTGTTTTTTTTTATAATTCATATACATACATACATACATGCATATATATATATATATATATATATATACATATATATATGTATACATATATATATATACATATGTCTATGCATATATAATATATTGCGTAATTTGTACCAATTGAAATTCAATTTCATTAGAAATTTTTATTTATAGTAATCAATATTACGTTTTACTTATTTTGTAATAAAATTTATATAAAATTAAATTTACAATGATATTGATACAAATATAAAAATATAAAAAAAAAAAAAACAAGAGATAAGTAGTTGAAAAAAAAGAAGAAATAATTAGTAGATAGAGTAGCTTAGATTAAAAAATTATGTAAGTAAGTATGAGTTCTATTCGCCTCGAAGCGAATTTTGGACCATCACCACCTTAAGCAAATACACACATAATAATGGCAAAGAAATCATATGCGATATAGAACGAATCTTTTGCTAACAAGCTCCTACTTGTACAGCATACATCGTTATGCACGCATATATATCAAATAATTTTCTCATAAACAAGTACAAGCCTTGCAATAAATTGAACGAAATAAAATCTAGATTTATACATGGTTCTCTTACTAGTTTCTTTTTGGTATTTTTTTTTTTTTTTTTTTTTTTTTTTTTATTAAGGCAAAATTTTAAAACCCAACTTTAAAGTCCAGGGCTAAAGGCTGTGCAAACTTGTAGTTCGATAAATTAGGAAATGGGACATAATTGTCAGCGGTTGGATCGACTATTCTAAACAATGTGTGTTGGGGTCAAAATCGAATAGAAGGAGATAGATAGATAAGCAATACATCATAATTTCTCTATGCTTAATGAAATTATTTAATACAAATTACAAAACTAAGAAAAGTTTATATTCGCCTTTGTAGCGGATTCACCATTCAAACGAATATACAAAGATTGCAAGTCGTCTTATGAATTTGCATAACCTTTTTAAGCAATTCTTTATCTTTATAAATACATTTTTAATAAACTTCATATCGAATTAAAGGCGTAATTAAAGGGTTGTTTTCAGTATTGGTCTAAGATTATTATTAGATAGATTACCATAATCAATCAAAATATATGACCCAAGTTTCAGACTTTTATTTGAATATTTGCAAATCCTATCCAAATGAATCTTAGACGACAGCTGGACGAATGTTCCATCCACGAAGAATGCTTTTATACAAAAGTATTAACCGCATCAGTGCAATTTCGCAAACAACTAAGTAAATCAGCTCGTGTAGCTGTGACAGAAACGTGTTGCATTTAACAATGGATAGATAGATAGGCACGAAAATATTAATCATTCTTACGTGTTTCTCGGAAGAGAAATATTAACTTTATAAGCAAGAGACGTAAGAAAAAGTATGAAAGAAAACTAAGTTTTTACTTCAGAGAGATGAGACCAACTAAATACGACAAATTCTTGCTCAATGCCGTTTTGGTAAACAATATCGAATTCTTTGCTGAATAAATTCATTTGGATAGCTTATGACCACTGTTTTAAATTGACAGTTATTAAATAATACTTTGAACGGTAGTCTGTCATTGCATAAAAGTTCTGCCCCCAAAAGTATGTTGTTGGGATCTTAAAAGTGTATGTGTGTTTGTAAAGTCCTCTTAAGGAAACTATCGTTCAAGTTTTATTATTATGTTGGTCGAAAATTTGACTATCGGATTTCCAATACCTCAGCCGTATTGAGTAAGAGTAACACCCGGGATTTAACGGACAGCTTCAGTGCATACCCCCCACTGTAGCCACTTCGGCGCGTTCTAGTCTCATAAATATAATTTTCTCTTTTCGGAACGTAAGATGTGAATTTGCGGTTCATAATCCACATAGTAGAAATATGGTGCGTCTTATGAAGGTTAATACGCATGTATATTATTTCTCACGACCAAAGACGGTCAGTCACCAGTTTGAAAAGGTCCTAAGATTTAACTGGAAATAATTGCATTACGAAGGCTTGGTTTAACTTTTTCTTTTCTATACTACGTCGGGCAAACACTTGCGAACAGCAACTCGTCGACTTTCTTAATGCGATGATAGTTTTTTTATTTTTTATTAAATTCATTTTTGAACTTGCAATCATAGATATATAATGGGCTAAGAGTTTCCTTATTTTGGAATATCCTTTTCTTTGTCTTTTCTTATGAGCGCAAATGTGAATATTTTTAAAGAACTCCTGAGCTATGAATATTTTATTTTCTTGCAATCACCGCACGTTTAAAATGGTCCACAATGATCCAACATTTTCTTTTTTTTTTTACAGGCCAAGCCCAACGAAGGAGAAAGCATCGGCGAGTAAAGATTATTTTGCATAATAGCACTGATCAAAGTGATGAATAAAATAATGAAAAGAAGAAACAAGGCAGAAGTTATAATTGTCTTACATCGAAACCTTTCTTTTTCTTCCCCCGCTTGTCTGTTTTGTTATTCTAGATTAGTTTTTGAAATGAACGTTATTGGCATGCTATTCACAAGTATTCTATTATCTACATACTGAGGTCTGATTACACATTCCAACAAAAGTATTGAACTATTAACCTATTGATAAAACAGAAGATAATGATACATTGGACATAACCATAGACTACTAGCAATAGATTTCGAATTTTCAGATTTCACTCTAATTGCGGAGTTAACGATAGGAGAAAGCGAACATAACAAGATATTGCGGAAAAATATTTTTAGAAAAAGTAACAGCAATCGCGCCGTGGAGGCGGACATGTTGATTAATTTCAATTAATTCACTTTTTCAGCTCGATAATGAATTGCCGATGCGTTCTTCTGCATACTTTAAGGATTGATTAATGGTAATAATGATGAATGCATCGTTTTCTCTAAATATCTATCCAAATAGATATATGTTAGTAAAGTCGGGTTAGAAAACAAGAAAAAGATTTTGCAAAAATATTATTGTTTTATATCAATATTAGGAAGATGATGATCAATGAATGATGAAATCTGAAACAAATGAAGTAAAGATATTTTATACTAAGTTGATAGCATATTTAATGAACCTATGATGCTTGCGAATAATTTCAAAATTTTGAAAACACAAATCACTTCATGAATAATGATCGCATGGAGAGTTACAATTATGAGTCATGTCAATGTCAATTTATTAAAAAATCGGAGAGATATGAATTTTTCATAAAAAACAGAAATATATATATATATGTATATTCATTTTTGTTAATCACACATATAACGAAAATGAATCGATAGGAAACTCGATTATCGTATCAATAAATGTTTTGCATACGAAATTACTTCACTTTCATTATTTTAGTTGAAATGTATGTATTTTGGAATTGTGTTAATTTCATTTCATCTAATCTCTAGACTATTGTTATACTGTAGATTAAGTGTGAGTATGAAGGTATTTAGGTTCGTTGCCGCATGCACTAAACGCATCGTTTGCGGAAATGCGGCTTTTTTTTATTTATTTATATTTTTTTCTTACGATTGTTATTTGGTTTAGAAATTCTTATCATTTGTTTTTTTTTTAATTAGAAAATTTTTTTAACTAATTTTCTTCAATATATATTTAATTTTATTTTAATTCTACAAAATTTCTTAACGTTTTCTCGTCATAACATTTTTATTTGTTAATCATTGCACGTATTCTGGTGTTGTTTGTCACGTTTTCTATATTTATTTATTTAATTGAAATTTATTGCATAATTTTTCGTCCTATTGCGTTATGTTAATCTATATTTTCTTTGTCTTTTTTTAACTATTTTTTAAGGAAAATTATTTATTTATTTATTTATTTATTTATTTTTTTTTTAATCCATTTTTTTTCTTCTATTTCGGATTTTGTTCCACAAAAAATGAAAATAAATTATTTTATTGTTAAACTCTAGTTCAGTTTTGTAAAAAGGGTGTTTATAGTGTTTTACACGGCAGCCACTGGTCCGGGTGGAGTTGAGATACTCGTCGTCATTGTTTTGCTCAAGTTCCTAAAATAACGAAAAAGAAACAATTTATGTTAGAATAATTTTTCACAGATCACATTCTGTGGGAACCTGTAATTAAATGTCATCATCTTAAAGCGCGATTCGAGATCGCGACTTTATTATATATTATAGATAAAGCCATAATGAATTAGCTAAAGGCAAGGTTTACGTCTTGTTATTTACCTACATTTAAGAATTTTGTTGGCATAGCTAACTCCAATTGGTTATCAATTGCAAAAAGCCAAAAACTGGATATAATTTGAGATCAGATAAATACATTTTTTTTTTTTTTTTTGTGGTTGGATTCAGTTTTCATTACTGTGTACAATTGGAAACTGAATTTAATAAGTAATAGCAAATGTCTTGAGAACAGTCACACTGGGTGAATAACTAATTTTTCGGTTAAAGGAAATCCACGTCAATACGTGTTCTTCATGTAAGTTCATGTAAGCAAGTAAAAACACTATCGCGGGATGGGGGATGCGGTTCACTGTTAAATACTCTACACGACCTTCCTTTATACAGTTAGTTATTCATGTAACGAATGGTCAAGACAAGGACTTATTTCGCAAATGTTCGAAAAATTGATTCAATCAAACCATTTTCAATAGCATTCGTCCTTGAGCTACAATACGGACAAACGGACAGACAAATTTAGATCGAATCAGAAAGTGATATTAATTCGATTGTATAATAATAAGAGGTGAGTCTATGTCAAATTCTTTTGGATATTGCATACATCCGCCCCGACATAATATACGTTTGTACAATAAGTAGAGAGGGTATGCAAGAAGTGTACAGAAGCTAATCAATTATTCCTTAAAATTTTTAAAATTGAAAAAATTGAATAAAGAATTAAAATTTGAAAAGTTTATCCTTGAAACCAAGCCACATATCACGCTTAGAACTTACCACAATTCGTCTGCAATAATTAAATTAAAAACTGCAGCAATCTTAAAACTAAATGAATAGAAGTAAGAATGCTATAGTCGGGTGAAGCCGACCGTTAGATACACTATATCACTTCGCCTAACGCAGCCATTCATTTAATTTATATGATAATCATTATTTTTACGCAAATGTATAATTTTCACGAAAGTCCTCATAAAAGGTGGACACTCAAACGTCAACTAACGTAGTCCAAATTTAGCCATCCTAATTTATAGGGCAAAGATTTTACAGTTGCTTCCGTCGTAACAGATCAAAAATTGCGTTTTGTCATTATAGAAGGGCTTGCTTTCATTAGGTCCCCTATATAGGGTGCGGTCAAAAGAATAGACCTATGTATTCGGTTCATTTTCTAAGAACCCATTTGCATCATAAATTATTAAAGATCAGACATTTTCGATATACAAAAGGCATATTTTTGATTAGAATTCCTTGCATATTTTGGGATCCATAAAATTGACCCGAATTCGGTAAGGTTCATATTTATGTGAAATTATTGTTATGATTGCACTTTCATCGCAAAATATTAAATATGGGGACTGTTTACTATGGCAAAGGTTTCAAAAAATTGCCCTATCTGAGCCAAACTTTCCATACCAATTTAGAATGCCGGAATACTATTACTACACGAATTTAGTCGCGAAATTCTAATAATTACACCCTTTTTTTATATGACGATTTATTTACAGCGACCTGGCCAGGAACGACAGTAAATTTACAGGGAACTAAACAGATCTTAAAATGATTGAAAGTTGATCAAGTAAGAAAGTTATTACAATCGCTTTAGAGTGAATCTCCGAAATCCGTCACATCAAACTGAAGCGTTCGCGATTGTGCCTATGGGCTGACCTTAGCCAATCAGTGAGGGTATGTCCACTACTCCTGAGGTACAAAAATGAGTGACGAAAGAGGAAGAAGAGGTGAAAGCGAAGTATCGGAAGTGGTGGCCACAGCCTAGTGGATGTATGCCTTGAACCCCTGAACACTGAGGCTTGATAGTAATGATTTATGGCAACTGGGCTACTCATGCGGACCTAAGAAATAATTTACATGCCTAGTTATAGATCAAGATCATTTATTGACTTTATTTAAGCAAGAATCTATTGCGATTCTTCAGGTGCAAATACGCGCACACTTTCCCGCTTCCCGCTTCCTGCTTCCCGAAGTTGTTAGGTTGTTTTCGTGGATGCTTGTGCGTAATTTGAGACCATTTTTAGGCATTGTAAGTTAGATATGTGTCCCCTACTGTAAATTGGGAATTGCGCACAAGTCACGTTCTGATTTGTAGCCATCAGCTAAGAGTGTAAGCTAACAAGTCAATTTCAATTTAATTGATTTCAATAGATACAGCGATATAGAGACAAACACAAATACGGACGGATGAACAAACGATCGGCAAGATATGATTAAATCGATTCAAAATTCAAAATTAATCAAGAATACTTACGCGTACTACGCATGAGGTTTCTAATATACACCCAGACATTGTATCTGTAGTGAGTGAGCATAAAAATTATATCCTATGAAGATAAAATTTTTTTTTTTTTTATTTAAGTATAAGTTAAACAGACTATTGAATACGCCAAGAAAAATACAATGTGAAATTGTACGCAGCCCAGGTTATAAAAATAGCTATTTGGGAGAAAGTAAACCGGAAAACATTCTTGCAAATTAACCGCTCCTGGGGAAGGAATAAATGGTGTGTTTTTGCGCACACGTGACGGATGATAAAAAGGCTCGAGAAGTTGATATTTTCGTTTTAATAAAATCATCATCATCATTATATTATTTTTCGAAAGCGACATATAATCCATGAAAGTCTGCTTTTGAGTGCGACTAAACTAAATCAGAGACTAAAAAATAAACTGAAGCCTTAAGTAATTGATTAGAAACGAATTTATTTTGGCTACTTGTAGATGCTTCAGTAAGCCATTTGGGAATTATTTTAAGTAAAATAATTATATTTGAACTGTCATTCGATCTATTGATCTCAAGAGCTTCGCATTGATATGAAGGCTAGCTGGCGGAAGTGAACAATTAAATTTGAATCGATCGTATAATTTTTCGGATTTTGCACTTACCCTTGCACGGAATTGGAAGTTGACAATACTCCATTATCAAGTGAATCTCTTGATAATTCATCTACCATTTGAACTTTCAGTTGATGACCAAACGAATTCATATCCGAATTGGGTGTTAGCTGGGAACCGGGCGTTTGAGCTATATATTGACTTGGCATTGTTACTGAACCGGGATGCGATAGCGATCCAGTCATGCCAGGACCACCATTAGGTAGAACACCATCGGCCAGTACATTATCGCCGGTAGTGGAATCGCGTACATTAATAATTTGACTACCGGCTGCGTTTTCAGCTAAAGCAGCGCCATCACTATCATCGACACCCTCCTCATCGATGTCCATATCTTCAGCGTTTTTATCTAACGGTGCAGTCTCTTCGTCCTCATTATAAATTTTGAAATAAGCATACGTTAAATAGATCACAGATATTATAAACGATGGTATCGGTATAGCCATCGAGTATACAAGGTTTAGCGTGTTTTGCCAATAATCTAAGTCACTAATTACTACACTGGGATCCACTTTAGAATAGTAACAAGGGAACTTGACACCTATACGTACGTAACGTTTCAGCCATATGGTGCAATTGAGCATGGGCGGATAACCACAACCCTTTACGTTTGGATAAAGATGAGCGCCGACATAAAAGTAAGTGCCATTTATAAGATCACGATTCAATTCTGAAATTTCATCGAAAACATCGGAGCCACCATTTATTAGGCCGTCTGATCCCATATTGGAACTATTCTCATCATCCGTTATTGGCATAAAGCTATTCGAATCATTAGGATCGAATGCATTTGACTCACTAAGCCCGGCCGTTACATCGTTTGACGTTTCCAAATTTAAACTTTCCAAATGTATTAAGCGATCCCCACCAACGCCCACTCTGTCCTCTTCCAACGAATTGATATTTTCATTAAAACTAATATCATCGTATTCGTAATCGCGTATGGCGCGCTCATAACGATCGGTACGCTTAACAGGCGGTTTTTCTCTTTCGGCCTCCTTTAGATTGATGTGATACTCAGTGAAATTAAATTCATCCGTATAATTATAAAGATTGAGTCTATAGTTTACTTTAATTTGTGTACATTCATATATTTCCTTGGTGCAGCCTTCACGGCACGACGACCAGGTACAATTCCTATTACCAAAACGACGTACCGTCGAAAAAGTTTCACATAATGCGGGCACTTCTTCGAATTGCATGAAAATTGTGGTGAAAGCGGGTTCTATAACAAACGGTACCAAGAATAGAAAGGCAAACATGCTAAAGGTACCCAGCAATATGAAAAAGGCAGTCGTATAAAAGAGCATTTTCTCTCTAAAAGTACGTATTTCGGCGTCGTCAACCATTTTTATTTATTATTATATCAAAATTTTATATCTCAACGAAATAATTAATTAATTAATTAATAATTTTATTACTTATTGATATTATTTTATTTTTTGTTTTTATTTGTTTGTTTGTTTGATTGTTTTTTTTTTGTTTTTTTTTTTTTTGTAATAATATTAAAGCGATAATAAATTTATTGAGAAAAAGAGTTATTAAGTGACAGAGAGCGAGTGTAATAAGTTAAAGAACAGCACAACAGAGATAAACAACAAACGAGCGAGCGAACGAGAGATAGAATAAGACACACGCACACACGAGAGAGTGAGAGCCGGAGATAGAAATACCAAGAGATAGTCAGCGAGAAAGAGAGATAGTGAGACAGAGTGAGACAGAGTGAGAGAGAATGAGAGAAAGAGAGAGAGAGAGAAAGAAAGAAAGAAAGAAAGAAAGAAAGAGAGATAGAGAGAGAGGGAGAGAGAGAGAGAGAGGGAATTAACAAATAATTCTTTTAGAGTTTAAATATAAATGGATACGAGTTATTTATAGTCTAACGAGATATATGACAGCTTCAATATATACACGTATACATATATATTTATTTTTCTCTCTCTATATATGTTATGTATAATAACGATGCCTACAGTGCAATTTATATATATCACAGGGTGTTCAAATTACTTTAGAGTGTTTAGAGTGCGTTTGTAAACTTTTTCTTAGTTTTAATCAGTTCTTTGCCTGGCTCTCTCAATTGCAAGGGAGAGAATTATGTCTCCTTTGATTCTTTTGATATTATTGCTGTTGCACGCTTTCGAACAGTGGCGATAGTGAGGATGTTGTGACGATGATGATATGATACGAGTGTTAAACTTTATAACGTCGTTTTACAAGATAGAAGTGATGTTGACTCTCTCTCTGTGAAGAGCGTTGTACGTATATGTGCGAGGCAGAGGATATACGTTTTGCTTTTAATTTTTATTTTTCTTTATTTTATTTATTTATTTATTTATTTATTTTTTTTACTTATTATGGTTAAATAATTTTACTTCCTTTGTGCGCGTTGTATTGGCAGTGAAGCTTCCGTTGCTTACGTTTGCTTTCTATATTGTTAATGCTTTTGGTCTTGGTTTTTATAATTGTCTTGTTTATTTAAATTAATTGATATTTTCCTTTGAAGTCTATTCGATTTCTTTCGTTTTATTCTCTCATCGAACAAAGCTTTATGACCGTAATGATGATACATTTATGGCCAATTCATCGGCCAACTGCAACGGAAGTTGTGTGACGACAAACGAATAACACACATACACAATATATATACATATATATATGTATATATATATATATATATATATATATATATGTAAACATTAGCACTCCCGTGCACGTTGTATTTTGTTTTACATGAATACACAATGATAAGTAGAGACTGAATGCAGTTAAATTAAAATGCTAATCCTGAGTTAAACGTAATCGGTTGATAAAAAATATATATACATATATATATATATATATATGTACATATATATATATACATATATATATATATATATTATCTCTTCAGTTTTAAATAGATTTTCAATTTTTCCATTTATAAGATGAGATGCGGGATGAAAATCGTTGTTTTTGTTTATAGCTTTTTTTTTTATTTTTTTCTTTTATTTCAATTACTTTTTCATTAATTCTTTCTTTATTTGTGTTTCTTATTTTGTTCTTCTTTCGATTACTATTTTAATAGATAATCATTGGATATATATCTTATGCGTATTGCTTTAACTCAAATCATTTTGGCATATAATAATAACAATAACAATCATAATAATAATAATAATAATGAGCGTACATGCATGTACTTATTAGCTTTAATGTGGCGTTTAGTTGTTTTTCAAGGCTGCAGGAATTGCTTCTTGTTGTTTATAAACGTGCACTACACACGCACTGTTATACAGTTTGATTGGCTTTTTGCAAAAAAGTGTTTTAATTTATATGAAATCAATCATAAACGCACGAACGAAACGAAACCAAATATTAAAAATTTAAATTATTTTTGAGAACTGCTGTTAATGTTGTTATTGTGTTATATAGTTGATACTATTGTTGTTGTTGTTGTTGTTGTTGTTTTTGTTGTTGTTGTTGTTATTGCTGTTGTTGTTGTTGTTGTCGACTTAATAATTTTATTAAAATTTTTTTTACTTTTTAGATTTTTGTGGACGGTTTGTTGATTTCTATATTTCTTCTCTTTTATTAGAATTTTGTTGTTTTTTCTTTTTTCATTTAGTAAAACTTAGAATGACAGAAAGATATAACGAAAAAGAGGAAGGGACGAAGCAGCGAGTAAAACGAAAATTTGTAGATGTTTCCTCTTAAGGTTACTTTTAAATTAGCTAATAATTTATATATTTAACTGGCGCCACGTTGCCAACACGCACATTAAAACATACTAACGGGGTAACCTATTGTTGTCGTCGCTGCCAAGCAAAAAAAGTTTTTTTTTTTTTTTGTCAATAAATCTTTCTTTTCATATATATATGCAACGAAATTTGTTTTTCCGATCTTATTTACACATGGAAAATCTTCTTATTTTCATCAGTTTTATTAAAATTCATAGTTCAGTTTTTATTACTTATTTATTTATTTAATTTTATTTCATTGAGACATTTTCCTTTTATCTACAGAGAATATCTTTACTTTATGTAACCGCTGTATATAGTTTTTTGTTTTTTTTTTTTTTTAATAACTTCAGTTCTTCTTATATTTGGCTTCTTTTTTTTTGTAGCTGGCTGTCAACATCCGTCAATATTGGAACTTAAGTAAGAGAAAAAAACAACAAAAGAAAAAAAATAAATAATAAAACACTGCACTGCACAAAGTAGTACCATCCATCGGTTATTACGAAATAAAACACGAAAACGAGTTTTAAACGATTTTAGAAACTTTCGCAATTAAAGAGATTTCATGATTTTCTTATAACATGTAACTCTACATAATTAAAAAAAAAAAAATAAAAATTTACGTTTATTTGCATTTTTTTATTAAACAATAATGAAAATTTTACTATTGCTGACCTATACGTTCGCACCCCTACTCTACTTCTACGAAAAACACTTGGCTATGCATGCGGGAAATCTACATACACACACACACACACACGCACGCACACATATATACATACATACACACGCACACACACTCGAACAGGAATGTGTATATATATAGTTTCTCACATCCGCCCATTTACACTTGCAATCGTAGCAAAAAAAAAAAAAAAAAAGCCTAAGCAGTTACAGTTATTTAATGTGAGTATGATTGTCTTTTTCACTGTCTTCTTCTTGTTGAAAATTAATTTTGTTGAAAAAAATTTTTTCCCATTTTTTTTGATATTTAACAACAAACACAACAAAGATCGTGTGACATCCTAAATTATTGAATATAAGAAAATAATTTCTTTAAATTTTCTAAGCCTTTACTCCTTGTTGCCAGGTTTATTTTTTCACTTAACATTTTACTTTAATGAAACAATATCTACACGTATACACAAACACGTTTCGAAAAGTTTGCTATTGCATTAAAGAAGACTTGTTTGGTTAGAATTGGTAAAATCTTAGAAAGATATTTTTTTATTTATAATATTCTTTTTTCTTTATTCATTTTTTCTTATTTTTTCTTGTCTTGTTTGTTTTGTTTTTTTTAAGTTGGCCTTTCTTTTTTTTTTAAGAAAAAAAGAAAAAACGCTGACCTGATTGTTCAGGTCGTAAGTGCAAAAGAAGTCAAATTACTACTTGTCAGCTAAACGGAACGTCGTCATGATGGTATAAATTTATTTCTTACTCTCCTCTATCCGTATGTGCATGAATACAAACAAACACATGGTATATATATGATATATATATATATATAAACCTATATCTATATATATATATATGAAGGTGTGTGCGTGTATACATTTATATGTAGTATAAATATATCAATTCGGTTTTAAAATAAAGTGAAAAATAAAAACCAACCAATTAAGGAATACAAATACTAAGATCCGTGTATTCAAGCTCCCTGCCTAATAACGGTCACTGAAGCACTAAACAAAACAGAAATGTCCCATAATGTATAATAAAAATTTGAAATAAACAAAAAAAAAAAAAAAAATGAAATGAAAAATAAATCAAAATAAAAGCTTTAACCTTAAAATTAAACTCCACGTCAGTACTTTAGAACTTTAAAATCTTAAGCACATGCTGATGACATTAAACCACGTCACTTTGGCACATGTTATTAAACTTGTCCATATTAAAATTATAAGACTATCAATTATTTGTTATATTATGTGCAAAATTTATGGTAAAAAAAAAAAAAAAAAAAAAAAAAAAATTAATAATAACGAAATAACCGTAGTTTTCTTACACATACACCCTCTGGTTAAGCTAAACCTACACTAAGGTAACTTTATTAAATTAATATTTTCATGCTTTGCTTATGACTCACGTTTTTTCCTTTTCGTTTTCCATTTCCATTTCCATTTTCGTTTTCCTTTTTCTTTTTGCATTTTTCTCCTCTTATTCTTATCTACGCGTATTCGAAGATAATAAACATATCATTCTCTCAGAAAGCTTTTAAACGAACTCATATTTTATAACGGAAGTAATATTCTTTTCGTATTTTTGTTTTTATTATTTCGCTCTCATTTACGCTCCATCAAAGTTTTTCATTTCCTCTTTCCTTTCTCCCTTTCGTTGCTCTTTGATGAAATTGTTATAGAAACTACAAACAAGATATACTCACAACTCACTTATATTAATATGAAGAAGAGCGATATAATGTTATATCCCCGTAGCATAAAAGAAAAGGAATTTCGGTAAATACACAAAAATAAAACGCGTAGCGTTTTAACTGTCATCTCTAGTTATTTTACATCATGACATAATGAGATGTCAAAATTGTTTCTTTTTTTTTTTTTTTTTAAAAAAAAACACTTCAATCGAAAATAAAAGGAAAAAACATGTGATGTTGTTTTCAATTTATTAAAAGTAAAACGAAGCAAAAAAAAAAAAAACAGAAAGCAGCAATAACGAGAAAAGAAAAAAATCAAAAATTTCTTGAGAAAATTATTAACAAAAAAATAAAATAAAAAAAATAAAAAAAAGAAATTGTTGGAGAAAACGAAAAATGGCGTAGAAAAAAATTTCTAGAAAATGTAAAAAGTGCCAAAAATTTTATTGCAAATGTATTAAATCAATAATACATGACACTAGGCGTGTGTGATGTGGCGTACGCACGCATCGTATACCGTATCTTATAATAAATTTATTATTAGCAACGGTTTTCAATAATAAATATATTTATGTCGTCACTCGCTGTGTAGTAATAAAAAAAATTTCACATTTTATATACAAAACGTGATGACATTCTGAACAGATAACGGTACCAAAGAAAATTTGCTTGAATTTTTTAGAAAAGACGTAAAAAAGGAACGTGTGCTTAGACGATTGAGAGGACAAGAATCTTAGGTAAGTCGAGTGTGCATGGATATTTAAACATCTAGATATTTAAATAGTAGGATGTAAGGACGTAATTGGATCGGAGTCAAATAATACTCTGTCTGATGTAATTTCACATTGTTAAAACTATTTTCCACTTAGTGAGACATCACTCGGAAAGCAAATTAAGTTCATGTGATCAGTTTACTGCACCGCACGGGGAAATATGCGTAAAACAATCATCCCAGCGCTACACGCATTCGGTAGACCGGTGCATGTACTTTTACGGTTCCCCAGCTTTAATAGCCTGCATTGAAAATTGCCTCAAAATTATTGACTAAGTAATTTTAAATTTCTTACACGTACCACTAACCCAAACGGGTTAACTAATTTTATCAAACTATTTGTAACATTCTATATACCGTACGGCATATACGGCCTTCAACCGGACAAAGTATTCAGGCAATTTTCCCTAATTTGCTTCTCCATCGATCTGCAAAGAGACGAAATTTACAATTTTTCGAAAAAGAATATGAATATGTGTGAATGTATGTAAATCCGGTAGAAACTTTGAATTTGATGTCAATTGATTAACTAACGTATGTATTATGTTATATATGAAAACTTTTTAAGATTTATGCAAAGATTTGTGCATATATTCTTAGTGCGATGGGCCCCTGAAATTGCTTATCTATATATGCATATGGATTTGATTGGCAATAAAGTCTTCTTCTGAGGCAGATTTTTAGAATGACAATAGCAATTATCACAGCGTATTACTACAACCAACTAAAACGATGCAATTGTGTTATAAATTTTCACGTACCTATAGAGGCGTTAACGAAATTTAAAATGAATTCAAGTCTCCTTCTGCGACTTCTTCGTGCTTATTACAATATATATGAAGTTCATTAAGAGCGAAAGCCGCGCAGGTTTTTGTATGGAATTGTTTGTGTACTGAATTTGTCAAACACTGGTCCCGTCAAGGCCGTCTTTTCGCTGATCTACGAAATCGAGTCTTAGGACGTAAATAAACTCTCTTAAGCCAGAAAATGTAAACGAAAATTGGTTTTTTTTTTTACTTTGGCCTGGAAAAGGGCGAAAATCCAGGCAGTTATTTAATGGGTGGGCCGGCTTGCAATCAGAAGAATTTTTTTAACGAGCAATAGCTTGTGTTATTGATTTTGATTACATTGCCCTTCAAATTTTGCATGTCTCTCCGCCAAGGATGTTATATTTCTGTACTGTTTTAAGAGCTGTTTTAAAAAGGGAAAAGATTGGTATGTAATAGGTTATATAACAGTTACGCAATATATTGCTTATGCATTTTAATTTTTAGAGTGTTGGTTGCGTTAAACAAATTTTTTCTACTTTCATCTCTTCTTCTTTTCTTTCCCATGTTTTTTTTTTTTTGATTAAAAAGCACCGAGATTCTCATCACAGGACATATTTATTTACATGTATGTAGTAATACGTACATGTCTTTCAGATTTGAAGAATATTTTCGTAACAATTGAAATGTGTGCCCGTGGGGAGAGGGGAAGGGGGGTGGGGGTAAGATTTGTCTTTTTTTTATTACCTTAACTCATTTCGCTAGTTCTTAACATATTTTCACAATTTTTAAATATTCTACGAAGGCGTACTTAGTTCAATCGATCAATAACGAATGTGAATTTAAAAATTTATTTTCTAATAAATTCTTACGTTACGTTATGTCGGCACTCAATATGAGCACGAGTACGCCAACAGTTGAATAATTAAGTTGCCATCGTGTTCGAGTGAAGATGATGCGTACGTGATGCCCACTTTTATTATTTTATTAATAGTGGGTACGACAGTGAGTCACATTGTTTTTTATTCTCTAGAATTAACTTGATATCGTCTGAAAAATTATAAAATTTTTCAAGATTATTTCAGCTTTTAAAAATTGTCTGGGCGTATCTGCAATCAACTCTTGGCCCTTCCCCTATAATTAGGAATGTAGCTTGCTGAATAGAAATTGTAAATGTTACGTCATAATCCCTGAACAGTAGTTCTTTTGCCAGTATATAAACCAAGGAGAGATCTTAAATTTTGTTAATTATCATCATATTCCACATAGACACAGTACCGATTAATCGAATAAACATATCGTAGATTCAAAACGCATTGGAATTTTGATGATTTGCTTTGATTGATTTCAAAGTTCCCTTGCGAATGAAAGAGTTTTTTTTTTAAACATTTTTCAAGTAGCTCGTTGAAAGTCAGAAGTGGACAAACTGCATTGCGCCGTATGGCTTCCTCCCGCGAAAACCCGAAACCCACCCGAAACACTTGACATAGATACGTATAAACGTCAAAAAGGAGCTTGAATGCTCGGCAAGGTTATAACGATTCAGATCAGCCAACGAAAGGACGGACGCTTTCTAAATGAAAAGAATACTGCAAAACTGCAGGCTACGGTGTTAGTGTTGATGAATTGGATTTTGGCGTCTACGAGGCGATCTCAGGCGAACTTTTTCGTAAAGGTTTAAAATTGAGTAAAACCACAGTTCGAACTGGATCGACCAGCACACGAAATTGAACGATGCAGCATGAATTCCAATGAAGAAAGCTATCAAAATCTTCGTTACAATTGCCAAAAGTTGAGGCAGAAATCTGGAATGTGACTAGAAATATAATTATGCATAATAATTATAAATGGGAAATAGAATTGAGATTTTGGGGGGCGTAACCGATGTCAGTTACATCGTTATAATGATTTGAAAGAAGTGAATTTCTTCATCGTTACCAGAAGACGACGATCTGCACTTAATGCTATTCGTTAAGGCTAGCTAGCTAGAGAATAGCTAGTTGTAGAATTTTGATGAAAAAATTATTTAACAAAATGAATGAGCCCTAGTGGCCTTAATTAATGCACACGCAAGATGCAGTTTAAGTCGCGTGAGCTCCCATAGTCTTATCGAATGCTTTCTTTTTACATTTTTTTTCCCCTTTGAAAACTGATAAGCATTAGATTCAAATGTTTCAAATGCAAAAAAAAAAAATAAAAAAAATAAAATTTAGAATAGAATATCAAGTGAAATTCATCAAAAACAATAATACTAACAATCATTATAATAAGAATAAAAGTTCAAAAAATTCAGTTTATTTATAACATTAGAATTAAATGGAACGTAAACGCAAATATTGAAATAAAGGAAAATTTATATGGTAAGGGAAAGTACAAGAACGCGAAAGCAATTGAAAAAAAAATCTCAGGTTGTTTTCTTTATTGATTTTTAGCACGAAATCCTAATCCTAACAATTAATAAAGAAAATTAAGAAAATAAGTGAAAAAAGGACGAGAAGCGATTGCGTGCGCATGACTTTGATTTCCCGACATAAACAACATTTTCCAACTGGGGTCTTAGGCCATAAAAATTGTAGTGAAAAGCACACAAGCACCACAATACGAGGACACAAAACAGTTAAAGCAGAGGAAAAAATATAGATAAGAAAAAAAAAAAAAAAAAAAAGAAAAAGAAAGAAATCGAAAAGAAACTCAACAGACTAACATATTGACTGTGGTCAAGAAAATAGAGTTTAAAGCAAAAAATAAAAAAATAAATAATAAAAATTTTTTAAAAATAAAAGCAAAAATCAAATAAAAATTGAATGAATTTCCTAAAATCGATAGGCAAAAAAAAAATAAATAAATAAAGAAATAATCATAGCAATAAGACAAAGTGTTCGTTGTTTCGAAAAACCAAAATTTATTCGTTGAGAAATTGTTGTGAGCTGCTTGGCAGAGAAAATCGATAGGAGGAAAGAAATTGTGAACAAATCTTGCTTTTTTTTTTTTGTTTTTATTTTATAAAAGCAAGAATGATATTTTGAATTTTATTTTTAAATATTTACACAAAATTTTATGCAAAATTAAAAGTAAAAAAAAAAAAAAAAAATTGCTTCGCAATCGTAAAGCGGATGAAGAAAAAAATCCAGCATATATCTGCTTGAAAAGAGGAAGAAAAAAACGCATAATAAAATTCGTCACCACTTTGACATACTATCAAAATTTTTGGTATTCGATAAATGCAATCATCATGCTGAGCGAGTAAAAGCAGTGCCGATAACGAACGGATGAATGTGAAATTATGTGAAAAACGTCTTGAATTGTGTTTTAGTGTAGAAAGCAAGGCAAAGTTATTGAAGTTTCTTAAGGGAGGAGCATTGAATAGTTTGCAACAAGGTTCACCCGTCCGACGCTTAGTCAACGATTATGGGTAAGAAAAAAGTGCCCAGTGAGGACTTAATAGTACCGCCACAGGATCAGCGAATTTGCGGCACAATATGTGTCTGTCAAATGACATTGGTATTAAGTTCGGTAGCTTTAGTTTATTTAACAGTCGCCATATATATGCCGTCGACGCGAGCCTTTAAAAGCGGCATTGATCAGACACCCGTCATGTGCACTACAACACGTGCGGTTAATAAGGAGAATTGTGAATGGGGCTCATGCGGTGAATGGTGCCTAAGTAAGACATCGGGCGCTTGTATACAAATTTATGTAAATCTACGTAACAATGGCACCAATTTAAGTTTTCAAAATTGTACTAATTCGGCCAATAAGACCTGCTATGGCATTGACCAGGATCGAGCTGATAAGGCCCGTTGCATACATGATGAATGTAAAAATCTTACGGGAACTTTTAATTGCACAGCTGGCCAGTGTTTAAATATCACCGATGCCTTTGAATGTGTTTTCAAGAATAGTGATTCACCAGTTAAGTGTTCAGGTAGAAGGGGGAAAATCAATTGCATGGATATAAGTGGCTTGTTTTCATGCAATCGCGGCACTTGCCGTAAAATACGTACCCCTTACAATTGCGACCGCCGTTGTGTCGACATACCAACACGCAATAAAAACGTAGTAATACTAAGCGGCGACAAAGTTTACTTATCGCAATGCCAGAACGCTATAAACGCGGAAACAGAAGAGGAGGTATGGAATGAGTCAGGCGATAATGTGGTAATGGCATCGTGTTATTTTATTAAAAACACTTCCGATCGGGTAGATGCAATGGATTGCATAAACGGTTCCACTATAGAGCATAGCATGCTAACGGATCTCACCAACTTTACGTATTTAAGTCATTTACATATAACCGTAGCGAATCCGGTACCAGAGATAGCACCGCCCGATGTAGATCTAACTATATCGAATGAATCGAAGCTTATGATTAATCTGGAGGGTTGCGTTAATACACTGATGGATGAATGCAAAGAATTCCTTAAGGATTTCGGACGCGATGGCAGCGATCATAATGCTCGTGCTCGTTTCCCATGCTTCTATTCGCCCCAAAAGAAGGATGTTGTTGTAGCTCGTTTCAATTTGGAAGTCACCTACCGTCAATTCGTATTTGCTTCTGTAGTCCCATCGGTGCTGTTTGTAGTTTCTTGTCTAGTGCTGTTGCTCTGTCAAAAAACCGTTTATGTAGGCGACGATGCTAAGATGCGTTTCAAAGGTTGTGTGGATACTGACACAATATTATCGAAGAACGCTTTAACTGATCAGGCTAATGGCGATAACGGCGGAGGTGGAGGTGGCGATGAAGTCATGGCTCTATGAGATCCGTCACGTAAGTGACCCTTTTCGTCAACGTTTACACATTATTTATTCATTTGGCATTCGTGCATTCTCGTTTATAATTTGTAGACATCAAAAATATCTCAGTCAACTCGATGACATAAATCGATTTTTCTTTTTTGCATATCTAAAATTAATATCAATTTATTTAGCTTTACATAAACAACGACATCTCTTAAACCATTTCCGTCTGTACTCAGTCTGTATGTTTATTGAGAAATCTTATAATGATTTTATAACTTTGCATACACGCACAAAACTTTCTTTCGAATTCTCTTTCCATTTGATATTTATCAGATTTAGTTATAAGAATCGTATAAGTTCACGTAATTATTAAAAAAAAAATTTCAAAGTAAATTCTTTCAACGTCTAATAAAAAAGCAGCTCTAGTTGGCTTGAAACGAATCTTTTAGTATCCGCCAGTCAGTTATCCACCAATATCTAGTTTGATAAATAATTGCTCGCAAATAATCGCATTTATCGTATATCGTATGTCGTATATGTTTCATTTCGTTATATTTTCACACGATAACAGAGCATGCCATAGGTGTGTAGGGGAGATAGAAAAAAATCGAAGGCCAAGTTGGCTAAATTTACTGCAAACACGGCAGCTATATATTCTGTGTAGGAGTCTCTGGTTGCATGCACTTTCACGTTACTTTGCTAACATACCAAAAAAAATTGATCGATATATTCGAGGACCAAAGAACCATATATTAAAAAGCTGAACACGTGAAAAACACGATTTTCAGTTCTTACAATGATTTCTGAGAAGTTGTCACATCAGATAAGCGAATTGAAATATTCTCGTTAGACGATGCATTCTTTGTCATAAGCAATGTATATATATCGAGCGAATCGATCATTGCTCTAACTCGCAAATCAAATATGATTACAACGTATATAGGGGTATGGGTATTAAAGGTTCGGCTTAATTCGACTAAAAAATCATTCTTTTTTTCTTTTTTATTTATACTTTTCAATATTTGTATATTTGTGTTTGCACTTGCCTGACATATATTTTCAGGGTCTTTTGAGGTTTAGCTCATCTGTTTCTTTCATTTTTTTTTATATTTTTATTTACGATTTTTTTTTTTATTTTTTATTATCCTTACACTATATAGCGTGTTTTGCCGCATAATTTTATTATAAATTTCTTCAATGACATATATACGTGTGTACATGTGTATGAATGGCTTAAGTAATTGCCTTTGCAAAGTAGACAAAACTGAAAGTCATATGATCCTTTTAAAAGTGTGAAAAGAGTGAATTAATCGCTTTTGAAAAAAAGAAGAAGAAAGAGTTGAGCATATTATGGCGAATGAAGATAAAATTATTATGCAAAGGATATCGCATGGGGTTAGCCTTAACCGTATTGTATTGTATTTATAGTAATAAAATCTATGTGTCAAAACGTAAAAACGTAAGCGTCAACATGTAACGTCAAGCACAAGACCATTAGTTCTCGTTATTTTAAACATGCGCAAATCATAGCTAAATCAGAAAAGTAAATTATTTCGATTTTTGTTATAATACTGTTTTGAGAGAACTGTTATATATTATCCACTACCGAATTAAGATCACGCCTCGTTGGTTGCTTGGTTACACTCAAATACCGGCCGGGTAAGTGAGAGTAGCTAGCATTTATCCACTCATTGGGAGAGAAAACGTATAGCAATCTCTAATTGACCGTAAAAAGTTAAAAGATGGAGTCGCGATACATCCTTAGATATAACGGTATCAACTGTATTCATAATATATACATCATAAATTTCAAATGCAAAGAAGTGAAAATTCTACTCATCTTCTTGAGCATTTATACGAATAAGGGTCCCAACGCAGATTCTTCGACCAGGTTTTTCCTTTTACTCAATGTCAATTCACTTATTATCGAATGCAAAGCGATAGAAACTTAAAAATTGTTTCTTCCATTCCACAGTAAGAATTTTCTCTTCTTCTTGCGTTCATTCATTCATTTAAGCTGCCATTCATACTCCTGTTGTGTTTTAATCAAGGCGATCTTGATATTGATTTACTTTGTGGCTAACTGTGATGATTAACATGAAGCCGTTTGCATAGTTTTGGAAATTGACGGTATACCTCGGCTGCTGCCGGATAATTCTATGGATCAAACGACCTGTAGCTTGAACACAAAAATGCATGGACAGAGATTAGACAGACGGACAAGCAAGCGCAGAATCATTTTCGGAGTTGATTGGGGTAGTAAAAAAGTGGATCTATATGAAGTCCTCGTGGGCGTTACAAGCGTCTCCGCACCAACTTAATATACCCCAAGTACAACAAGTGGCGTGGCGTAGCGTATAATGGAGAGAGTAACCTATATTTCCGATATGTTGTGCAAAAAAATATGCATATTTTTCTCGACAGATATTGATTGTATGAATAAAAAAAAGGGGACAAACTGCAAAAATTCAATATAGACAGAAAAAAGCTTTAGCTTTGACTTAAGCAAATGCAAACACTCGATACTTTCTTTCGATCACGATTGCAATATTTGTTGTTGTCTATTAAAGAGAAAACTCCTCATCACTTCTGACTGATGGAGCGAAAGTGGCTCTAATCGCAACAAGTGATTCTATAGTATTAACGGTATGTGTAACGATCCTGATGAATTGTAATCACATGACATAATGATCCATTAGCTTCGGTTTTTCAATCAACTTAGGTCAACTTGAAGTCGGAATCTTCAACCGCTATATACTATAAATAGGTCATATGGAGGAGCAATTTTTCAACTTTTGAAAATTATTGTAATCAAGAAAATCATATCCTCGCTAATACTCTCCACGTGGACATCGCTAATATAATCCTCAATTTTTGCGCTTCTATGTCTTACGGGCGTCGATTTACAGTAGTATATAACGCGTTAATGCCGATGCTTAATGGAACGATATTTAGTAATATATTCCTTTCCCTTTCTTTCTTCCTAGCGTGCATTAAGAATTTTGTGTGGATTACGACGAACCGTAACAAACTTGTTTGCAGACGATAGCACCTTATGTCATTCGTTTTCCTTTAGTAAGAGATCATCCAGCAATCCGATACAAAACAAACGCTTAATGATCAATGATACACTAGAACGGTACTTTACAAAAATATTCGAATGAGATCGGGTAAATAAATAGCCGCCTATATTCGGCGTAAATTAGATTATAACTCGCGTGGGTTGGCGGGATTCACCAAACATTGCTTGGAGGCGCTCGCATAACCCATACAGCGCAAAACTTAGGTGCTCATGGATGAAGAAAGTGTGTCCAGATCTCCCTATTGAGCATCGGCATAACGTGAGCGAGCAGTGACGCGCTTATTTGTAGGTACATTCAGAAAAACTTTTCTACAAAGATAAAAGAGATTTTTCCCGTAATTAAATCCTTCAACAGAACTACGCGTCTTCCACAGCCTTCTCACCCTGTATACCGCCCAACACATTGCCGCGACTCGTCGTTTTTTAATCGTATTGTCCACCTTTAGAACAACCTACTAGCGTTGGTCTTTCCTGTTGTCCAACTAGCGCTAGCTTATGAGAATGCAAATTTTCAAAAAGCATTCAGATAACTTTAAAATATTGTAGTGAAAATCGAATATTTGATGATTTAAGATTTCATGAAAACCAATCTATTCTCCAAGAAAGAAAATTTCAAAGAGAGGAAAAATCAGAGACACATTCATGCAGCTGGCAATTTGCGAAAAAATTAACAACAATTAGCAGAAAGTTGACGAAGAAAGGCATTACCACAAAGATGTCGAGATGAGTTTGGATAACGATAACTTGCTTGTAAAAGGCTATATAAGCAGAACTTTTGCCGAAGGCACGTTAGAGTAGAGAGTCGTGTCAGGAGAGTTCAAACGGAATATTCAAACCGACAAGAACGACAATTTGACGCGTAATATATAAGTTTCTGTAAATAATTTGTAAATACATCTCCTACGAATTTTAAATAAAACTTACACTATACTAAAAAATGCAAATCAGCGATGCGAAGTTGATACCAAAAGGGGTTGAATAAAAATACGTGACAATTTACGTTTCAATATAGTACGATTAGGTTGATATAGATCCGCTTGGGTGGCCGAGTAGACAAGAGTCTTGACTAGCAACTCAGTGGTCGTGGGTTCAAATCTCAAGTGAGGTAGAGTTTTTAATAAAGCCGAAAGCCTTAGATATGCTAGTGCTTTTAAGACATTAGTCTTAGAATTTATTCTCCGGCTAAATTAAGAATAATAATAATAATAATAATAATAGGTTGATGTAGGTTTTTTTATGATTAGATTATTGAGTTTGACTGGAAGTTGAAACGCTAAAGTATGATGTGCTTGCTCTAAAGGAATGCAAATGGATGTCTTTATGAAAAAAGTCTTGAAAATTTCGAAGAAATCTTAGCTTTCTGCGCTTATCAAAGCAATTCGAAGAATGCGAGCAATTGACAAACGCTTAAGTGTTATAATATTTCAGAAAGCACAAAAGGATTCTTCAAAGTGTTACGACATTAGATTTATTAGTTTTCGAATTATAGTTTCAAAAATTTCGACAGCTTTTTATCCGATATTATACAGCTGTGAAGAAAATCAATAATAATTAAGTGATTATTAATTCGAATATACCCACCTATGTAATACGAGTATAACTTTGTCTGTAGGCACTTTTCTACGCTAAGCATTATTTTAGTAAGCACCATCTTTTTTAATAACAATATGAATTCATTGCGGAAAGTAAGACTGATCTTGTAAGGCTATCTACCGATTCAAACTGACAAGAAACTATGTAGTATAGGCTTTAGTGTGATAACGGGTATGACTTAAGCGCGGAGAATTCATAGTTTTATTCAGCACTTTTGTGCGGTGTTATTTGTATTCTCGCTTAGACAATATCCGTAAGTTATTTATTCTAATTTTTGTTGTTGTATTTTGAATTATTTTTCATTTGCAGGCATTCCTCTGCTTCAAGAAGACAGTCCTGTACATCAATCGGGCATATTTGCATTGCAATAATTTATCATACTCTGTAACAACAACAACAACAAGAACAACACCTACTGTTATCGATCACAACTCAATTTCATTAATAAATTAAAAAGAAAAAAAAAAAATAAACAAAACAATTTGAAAAAAAAAAGAAAAAATTAATTTAAATTAATTTAAAAACTTTTTTCATTCATAATTTTTAAGCTTCTTCTTCTACTTCGTTCCTTTTTTTAAGTAACCGACAAATAAACAAAGAATATGTTAAAAGATTTCGAATAACGAAAAAAAAATAAATAAATAAATAAATAAAGAAGGAAAAAAAAGAAAAAAGCAAACAACACAACTGCAAAAAAAAAAACGGAAACGGAAATAAAGTAAAAAAAAAAAAAAACATTTTTTTTAACACACATTTATTTAAACAAATTCAATTATTCTCAGTTTTTAATTGCTTCTTACGTCGATACAACAACGGGCAAAACACACATTAACTCACACCAAAAAATGTTCATATAAAAGTAAACGGCACAGTACTGACAAAAACAAACACACAAAATAGTATTAGAAAAGAAATAATAAAAAATAAATAAAACAAAGCTAAATATAAAAAGAAATAACAATATACGTGCGATATTAAAATTAAATCCTTCATCTCTACACATTGCCACCATCGTTCACCTTATATATCAATCCGTTCCTTCATTCACTCCAAAAACAACTATAATACCCGTATAGTAATCGCTACAATTTCGTACATCGTACACCGCAACAACCACAGTAACGACAATGCAAACAAATATTCACACAATTTAAACAAACGGTTTAGAGGGATGCGTGATCAAGGTCTTTAGACACAAGTAAAAAAACATATACAACCAAATAATAAGGAAAATAACAAACAGTAATAATAATAGTAATAGAAATAATAATGATAATAATTTATAATAAAGAGAAGAACAACCTTTAAATGAATAGAAAACAACAACAACAACAACAACAACAACAAAAAATCCAATAATTAAAAATTTTAAATAACATTTAGCATAAAAAGTTTAGTTTAATAATAAAAGAAAAGCCAGCTTAGTTACCTAATAGAAAGAAAATAAAAGAAAATTTAAAGAATAAAAAAAAAAAAGAGGATTTTTTTTTTTTTTTTTTTTACTATAATAAATTAACAAAACTAAACTAAACAACAGTTAGATATAATTATTTGACTTGAAAACATTTCATATAAATAAATAATAAAAAAGTAATAACAAAGCAATAACCAAAGCCAGTAAAGAGAATTTTTTATAAAATATTTAAAAACGCAGTACAGCTTAGTTACCGGATTGCGCGTTGTTTGCTTTTGTTTAACATAAAAATCGAAAAAAAAAAAATTCCAAACATCATGAAGAAGAGTAATACCGCGAACACTATGCTCTCCTCCTTGCCCACTAGCCCTACTATGTCAACGCAAAGTTTAGGCGGAAGCAAGATCAGCTTGAACAGCAGTACCAAGTCAAGTCGTTCATCTCTGCCCCATGCCTCTATCAAATCAAACAAGATTGATCATGAAATTGAGACCATCTTGGAAAAGGCAAAATTCTATACCTCGGTATGCTTAGGTAAGTCGCACATCCATTCATATTAAGATAAATAATTACATTTTTGAAATCCACAATTAGCGCTTGATCAACATGATCTTTACCGTGACATTACGAGTCAAAAAATTAGAAAACCATTGTTTCACGTTTTAATAACAATCAATTATTATACTCTCCATCTACACCTGTGCTATATATAGGGTGTATTAAGTTTGTGCGGACATATGTAACAAGCAGAAAGACCCACCTTTTCCTATACTGATCGATTCAGAAATCATTTTAAGTTGCTGGGCTGTCCATCTGATGTCTGGCTATGTATTTTTTCCAGTCACCCTTCAGTCCGCAATATTTGACTTATTTCAACAAGATTCGGTAGCTTGAGATGTTTTGAGTCCGCAATGTGCTTGTTGCAAATGGTTTAGATAGGACAAGCCCTTTTTACATCCAGCACAGTCAGATGGGGGTATACACATTTTGTTTTTTTTTCCATAGCTCCCAAAAGGAAGGCTCAGAAGAGACTCTATAAAATATATATATTCTTGATTAGCGTACAATTTTGAGTTGATTTAGCCATACCCGTCCGTCTGTGCATCTGTGGGATGTATGTTGTTTGTACTCTCCTGGCCGCAAAAACTAATAATACTATATAATTACTATATGATTATTTAAGCGAATTGGTGCGGGGTATTTAATGGTCTGTCTGCCTTGCCTCTATCTTATCTTACTATCAACTCTGGTCTATGATATGAAATATGATCTAAATTAAATAAATGGAAAATGAATTAATTTTGAAGTAAATTTTCTCGCTCTCTATCTCTTTTTGCTTTTCATTAGGTACTACAGCGATTTTATCGGTTTTCACTTTTCTATTTCTCATACCGTTTGTTGTGGACCCAGCTATATCGACAATTATAGCGGATTATGATCCTGTACCCGTTACCTGTATCGTTATCGATCACGTTTATGCTGAAGGCATTAAAAATTGCACATGGAGTTCATGCCGTGAAGGTTGTACCTCATCGCCCAATAAGTATGTATTTTTATGAAATTTTTCTCTTTCTCCTTGTTTTTTTTTTTTTCCAAACAAATCCACTTTCCTGTGTCTGCATATTTAATCAGGAAAAAAAGCATATAACATCTATATATGTATAGTAATAAACATTTTCAGATGCCATCAATTATATGTTAATTACACCCGTATACCGTTTACGGATTGGGAGAAAAATCCTCGTGATTTAGCTACGGTCGTTTGGGATGTTAGTTACACAAAATTTCTAATAAATTCTGAAGGTTGCGGTTATCCGCCCACAACAAATTGCAGCGTTTTTGCCAGACAGTATGGGTATGTATGGGTTAAATGAGTGCTTAGTACAGTATAGTTTTCTGTTCATTTTAAGCGTTTATCAATCTTTTTCTTTTTCTCTTTCTCTTTCCTTTATTTTTTTTATTTATTTATTTTTTTTTAAAGATATTCACACATTGGTGAACCGTTCCCCTGCTTTTATAGTCGTGCCTATCCCGAAGTAGTTATCGGTCGTTATTCCTGGGAAAATAATTTATATCATTTGATATTATCGCTAATAATCCCTACGGTATTATTTGCTATATCAATTGGTGTGTTAAGCTACTGGTATTGTCCGTGTTGTGATAATGCTTGCAGTAGATCATCGAGAGTTTACGCTGAAAAATTTCCCACAAAGGAAGAGTGAGTCCTTGAAATCTTTAATATTACATTACATATATATATTTATATATATACATTTATCTGTTTCTATTCATTTTTAATGTGCATCGTTCGTTGTATAAGTGTGTGTGTATGTGTTATGTATGATGATTCCAGTGCGCATGCGTTCGCGCTTGTGCATTTGATTGTATGAGTGTATGCGTATGTGTGGCTATGTACGTCTTTTATTATGAAACGAAATTGGAAACTTCAATATCATATATCTATGAAAGGAAACGAATTTGTATCGCTCGCTATCAAAATCTAATATCGTATGTAAGCGAAAACTCTTTTTAAATCGGAAATTTGATTGAACTTGATTGATACATTTTCAAAGTTTTACTTACTCATGGCGATATTTAGTCCATATGTAACCAGCTAATATTGATTGTAATTAAATTGTAGGCTTAATTAGAGAAGAATATTTAGACCAATTTAAGGTCGACTTGAATATCTTTTTTTTCTTTCTTAAAAATTCCAAGGTCCACTACAAATTCTCGTTGTCAACTCAACCTATACTAAAAAAAAAAAGCAAAATCAATTCTAACGATTTCCATAAATTGGACTCCATATTAGAAATGTAAATTATATATCACTTTACTCATTTCGATAATACTCAGATATACGGTCGTATTAGCGACTTTCTGAAAAATGCCTTCCATTAAACTCAATTAAGGAGATGAGAGATTAGTCCAAAATATGTTTACATTTCATATACCTAATAATTCATTTAGGAAACCAAATCCCCAAGGCCTAAAACTACATAAACTATAGGATGTGATAAAAAAAACAAAAAAATTCACCAAGATGTACAAACATTGCTGCAATATTGTTCTGATAACTGCATATAAAGAAGGAATAGCTTTTGTCAAATGCCAATGTTTGCGAATATGACGTAAACGTTTGTCGGACATTTAAACGAAAACATTTCAAGGCTTAAGACTCTTCATTGTAAAATATATGCAGTGTTTTCAATTAATTCGCTTACACTTATTTGCCTTTCAATGTTTCTCTTGTTCAAAGTATCAAACTTCACGAGAGAACGCAAAAAGAAAAAAAAATGGAAGAAAAATGAGATGGAAAGCTAAGCCTTTGATTCATTTCCAGCAACAAATTTGAGTTCTAGATATATGGTGAGTTTGAGATATATCGCTTCAAAATTATTTACAAATGTCGATAATCGCTTCGTAAAAGATCGCGTTCAGCGAACGATTCTTAGCAAAATTTAAAAAAAAAAAAAAAAAAAAAAAAAAAAAAAAAACATTTCGTAAGCTTCCCATGGTTAATATAAAACGTGCTTAGAATTTATGTACGTAAGAAATATCGTCAAAATTTCTATATTTATTCAAATGAAAGACCCAGGCATGCTAATTACATAAGGCATACGTCAGCCGTTTACTTGTCTCATTCAGTGGAAACCTTTCCGCAATTCCTTAAAATGTTACTTAATAATAGTTCATAACAGGCGCAAATGTCCGAGTTTGTCTGCTTGTGAATTGTTGGCGCAATTTTACGCATACGAATCCTAGAAAAGAAGGAAAAGAAAGTTTAAAATTTGTTTTGCATTTATTGCAGATGTTCTTAGTGGAAAGTCAGCAAATAGAATTTCAAACTTACTACCCGGAGCAACGGAGCAAAGGATTCTCAACGAAACGCCTAAAGTAATAATTGATTGATTTACTTAGTCTTTGCTCTTAATCGTTGCCTTCGTAACTTGGTAACTTCCGCATGAATAGTCCAAGGTAGATTAGAGCCGCGATAACCGCGTCAGTGTTCGCGGATTCTTATCCCAAGTGCGCTAAAGATTGCTTTGATCGTAGCTGTAATTAATGGTGAGTCGAGAAGGGCATAACATCATCAGAACCCCAAGTATGACCGTGACTTTGCTCACGTCTTTCTTTGACCGTATTACACGAACAGGTATCATCCATTCCCTAAGCGAAAAAAAGAACTACATAAAGAGAAATTACTCACAAAATGATATCATCTTAAGTTCATCTCGGCATAATGTGAAATTGATCTTATCTACTTTACCGTCTTTGTATAATCTTAGCTGATTGTTTCGGGACCTTTCCACATTTAGGATTTATAAGATCAGTCACGTTGTAAATGAGAATAACGTTTATAGAAACACTCATCACTTAAGCTAAGCAAGAGCATGGTAGGGAAAGAAAAATCCGATTTAAAAAGAAGATGTTTACTGCACATGTGTGTTCGTATAGTACAGATCTGCTCAAAAATTTATTCGAAAATATTAACTAAGATGAGTCCACACGTTTTGGAATGCGATACATTTTGTTCTCTGTCGATTAAAAAATACAAGTTTAGCATGTGTTGTTGGTATAAATTTTTATAAAATTACAAAAAATTAAAAAAAATAAAAAACATTTTTTTACTTTATATTGCTTTTATTTTTGTAATATTTATATCCACCATTCAGAAATAGGTTGAACTAATTTGATCGTAGCCTGAGATCTGCATCTCCATCTAACAGAGACCTTTTTCAAAATTAGAAAATTTGAAATAAACAATTGTAAGCAAGCATTCTTGTATAGTATATTGAAAATCGGTTCATTCGCCGCTTATATTCAAATTCAAAACGTTTTTATTGATCTGAAAGTAAATGCAAATATCTCTCCAGATTATCTATCTATCTATAAGTAGTGCATTTTTAACGGTAATGAAACGGATGAAACGGTGGATATATGTATAATGGAACTCGTTTTGTATCGAATTTATTCATTCATTCATTTCAAAAAAAAAATGCCGTATCTACTCTATCGATCGATGTATGTGTATTTATTTATATTTTATAAGTAGCTTTGTGTGCGTTTTTGTTAATGATTTATTTCCATTCTTGGTCTGTATTCTTTTTTGTTACTATTTTCTTTTTTCGTTCCTTTCTTGTGAAATTCTTACAGGTTTACAAATTGCATGAAATGTAATCCGGATAAATCGATTTCTTTGAATAGTTATTAATATACAACGAGACCTATTAAACTCCTCCAAAGTCCTTAAGAATGCAAATCAAATTAAAAACGAAAAAAGAAGCAAAAAAAAAAAAAAAAACGATCTTCTACGACAAATGCCTGAAAACTATTTCAAGTGATCAAATTTATATATATATATATATATATATATAAAAATATATAAAATATATATATACATAGATGTATATATATATATATACATATATATATTTATATATATATATATATATTTATTTATTTATTTATGTAGAACGCAAAATAGTATATCATACTCGACACGAAGAGCACGTTTCACACAAATGTTATAAAACATTCCCCAAAGACACATCTCTTCCAAAGAAGCTCGATACACGACAATTAAGCAAAGATTAGCCAAAGTAGATTTTTCTTTCTTTTCTCTTTTTTTTTTTTGTTCCTCTTACATGTAGTAGTATTTAGCAAAGTGATACCTTCACCATTTATAGATTTGTTGTTGTAGCACAAATTCTTTTAAGAATAAATAGAAAATTTCTCTTAAATTATTTCGTAAATTTTAATATCCATTATCTATATGTAATTCCGTATTTGTAATACTTGAAAATAAACGCCGAAAAACTTCTCCTAAGAATGCATTTGAAGAACATAAACTTTTAAAACTGTTTACTAGAGTCCATTAGTGTCTCTCGTTTCCCGTTTTGCGTTCGCACTTTACGTTTCACAAATAAGTGAAGTAAAAAATTGAGTTGAATTGATTCGCTCGGAAATGTTTTCATAACTTCGTTTTTGATGTACAAAAGTTCGGAATGAAACCGATCACTTGCTGGATCCTCTATGGATATATGCAATACATTCGTGCTAAGGCGAATAACTAAAAACTGAACTGAAAAGTAACCACCGTAGTTTAGGAATGTCGCTAGTTAGATCCCCAATAGCACTTCAGTATAACTTCAATCCTTCCTGGCACTTAATTATTTCATAAGCAGCAAATCAATCAAAAAAAAAAAAAAAAAAAAAAAAACCATAAATTACTTGGACAAGTCTTTTTTCTTTTTGGTTTTATAAAATTTCCTTAAAACTTTTATTCATCATATTCATCTGTAAAATCTACAAAAGACAGTGAAAACCAAATTTAGTGTTAAAAAAATGTAAAAAATAAAAAAAAATTAAATTTCGTTTGCTGAAAAAAAATGTTGGATATTTAACAGAAATGTGCTTTAAAAAGGAATTTGTCTCTCAATTCTCTTAAAACTTCCTAAATATATATGATTTGTTTGCAGCAATATTTTCTACTCGAATATTTTTTATAAAAAATTACTTCAGGACTCGTATTACTTGTATATATTTCTACAGCCTTTTGATGTTCAGTCGCATCACGACGAAATGTTTGCATAGCAATTCGTTTACGAAACGCATGATTAAGTGTTTGAGAATTTTTTTTTTTTTTTTTTTTTTGATACCCTACACTGCTGTGTGATATAAGGGTATACTAAGTATTTACGGGTGTGTGCGACATCGAGCGGCCCTTAAAGAAAAGAGATCCAAGATCAGTTATTGCATCGATCTTAGCTTGTCTGTCCGTCAGTCTGTTGTGGTTTATTTTTGTGCGAACCCGCAAGCGATCATTTTTAAGATATTTTAATGCAAATTAATAGATATCTTATCCCAAGGACGAACGCTATTGATGAAATTGATTTAGATCGGACAATTTTCTCGAGTACTTCCCATGGAGTGATTTATTTTGAAAAGCCTAATATAAATTAATAATTGTAGAATGATGTAGGGTTTATAATGGCGGGCCTTGGCCCTTCTATAATGTTTCTACTTGTTTTCCTTAAAAAGTTAATCAATTTTTTTCAAAATATGAAATTTTTTTTTTTTTCTTTCACGATATTATGGTAATATTTTTTTCGATTATACGATAATCGTCGGCAAGTAGCGTTGTGTCATAGGAGACCCTCGAAAAGCTGTTGTACCGATTAGTAGTAATAGTTGCTCAGTGATCGTTGTGGTATAATTTTTTTTTTTTTTTTTTTTTTTTTTGAACTTCGATTAGTGAAACCACTATTGCACGGAGGGTGTTTTCTTGTCAGAAATGTCGGCTGAATGATTGTAAAATTTAAAATAATTTCAATATTTGTTAACATATACAATAAAGAAGAATTAACTTAATGGATTCGACGGATATAAGTCTGCTCGTATATAGTTGAGGAAATGGTTTTATTCTTGAGAGCATATATCCATTGAAGTATTTGTTACCAGTGTCTCTGCAATATATTTACCTCATATCTAAATTGATTTTCTGCTCACCGATACAGAGCTTTGCTGATTCACTTAGCATGTTTATCATTTCACTATAAGTTTTCGATCCATTTAAAACAATTTGTCCGAGTTAGTGTTTAATTGGAATTTTGTTAAAGTGACACAACCGTGTTTATTTCACCGTTTCCCACCACATAAGCTAATAATTCGGTTTAATGTATTAAACCTTCCGATGCAATTATATAAAGTATCATATAAGAAATAGTTTTGTTACTGCTTTATGGAAAGTAGGTATACATTGGAGATTGTAATAAAAACAAAAAAAAAAAAAACCGAAAACATAACAGTTTTTGGTCTCTCGTCGCCAATATAAGATTGTTTGAATGATAATACGATCAGAGCAACTACTAGATCCTTTCGGTTCATTCAATCAGTTATATTATTAATGTAAGACATCATATGGTGTGTACTATGCCGCGCTTTCCAGAGTTCGTTCCCCCAAATCTTTACGCTTTTCTGGACTAAATCCAAAACTTAGCTTTTGACAAAAAAAAAATTCGATATCTTATACGGCGAATAATTAAAAAATAATTTAAAAATTATAAATTTTTTTTTTTATTTTTATTTATTTACCCGTTGTATTTCTGTTGTTTTTTTTTTTTTTTTTGTAATACATTTTAACATTCCAACTGATCTCCATGAACGTAACTATAAAATAATTTATTAAAGAAATTTTATTACTTTGAATGAGTTTTGTAAATTTCTCACATTTTATTTAAGTTTTTTTTTTTTTTGAAATTTAATAATAAATATTAATATATAAGTTTGAAAAATTTCTTACTTTAAATAAATTTCTAATATGCATGTCAAAAAAAAGTAAAAAATAAAAGAAAAAAAAAAAAAATAGCATTCTCTTCATTAACTTCATGTAGAATTGTTATTAGTAGAATCTGTTAGTAATGCATGTCGTAATTTTTATATTTTTAATAGAAAATCTGTATGAACTTATTTAGCACCCACCACAGTAGCTAACTGTTGATTTTTAAAAATTTTTCAACAATTCAAAAAACAAAAAAATGAGAATAATGCGAAATTATATAAAAAGAAAAAAAATTTTCACACAATTTTTTAGAAAACTTCTGTGTCACAGTGACGAGGAGGATGAAATGGAATACTAGAAATAGTAGAACTTCTTAACCACAAAAAAAAAAAAAAAAAATTTCTAATAAAGAAACGAAATAAATAATTTCCACATATATACGAGAATACTCTTAGCATAACATACGTAAATAATAAATAGATAAGCACCGAGAATAATAAAAAAATAGAATCACAGGTTAGACGAAAAAATTCAATGAATCTCTACTACAACCATACATTTATAAAATTGGTTTTGATAAAATTTTTATACTCACCACCACTGCAGTTTAAGATGTGATGAAATGTTGCTGAATCGTTCAATTATGTCCATCTGTCCATCTGTCCATCCCTATTTATTGAATCTTTAAAATCACTCGAAATAGTCCATGGCGCCGAAAACTGGATAAAATTCCCTTTAAGTTATAAACAAACAGTGATTTGATAATGCAAGACTTACCGTCTCTCTACACGTGTAAATGATGGGTAAATAAATAAATACTTTTCAAGTTCTTTGGTAGAAAGTCGTGCCCAGATCTTTTTACTGAATGAAATAAATTTTATGAACTTGCTGTAAGAGCTATGGTGGGAGTGAATAAGAGTCTTTGCATTCAATAAAATTTATTCTAGAACGTTTTAAATAAAATCCATGGCAAAGTCTTTCAAGTTAAAATAAAGTTCTTAGAAGCACTACTGTGGACAGAGCAATTTTTTTCATATATGTTAATTACAGTGCTTGATGAGCGATAAATATTTATGAAGTGCTCAAGAACGAAAGAAAAAAACCACAGACCTCCATTCAATCTTAGTTTTAGCAGCGTTTATGCAACAGATATCAAACTCCAAAATCAAAATATATTATATTCGAAAGGTAATTTGCATACGGAGCCGTTAGAGACGATCTTTCGATTAAAATGTGAAATTATTTTAATTTGAAGTCAAAGCGACGGAGAGGAAGAATATATACATAGGAATAGAAAGTGCGCGATAGATATGTTGATAGATAGACAGATAGTTAGATAGAGACAGATAGATAGATAGATAGACAGATAGGTAGATAGAGACAGATAGATAGATAGATAGATAGATAGATAGAGAGAGAGAGAGAGAGAGAGAGAGAGGTACATGAGGGAAAAAACCATGAAAAACAGAGAAAGAGATAGATAGACAAAGAGGGCGAGAGAGACAGAGAAAAAGAAGAGAAAGAAAAGGAGAGAGAACAGATTGGGAGGCGTATGGAGAGATCGAACTGGAGAGTTATTATTATTATTATTAATACAATTATTATAATTAACTTGGCCAGACAGATAAAAATAAAATAAAATTAATATATGAAATTCAAAGCATTACATTATTTAACTTAGCGCTGAAATTTGCAAAAGTTTTCATACAATTTGACACAAACAAAGAATATATAAGTGATAGTTAGATGACTTTGACCGATAATTAAAGTTCTAATTTATTTTAATCGAAGGATTAATGCAAACTGATTGCAATAAGAACGTTATCCATTAGTGGTGAGTATACGATATTTCGCTTTAAGGCGATTATAATTGTTGAAAATTTATATATTATAGAAATAAATTTCTTTTATTTTAGTTGTTATAGAATAGTCAATGAAAGTTAATTAATTTTATTATCATAGATTTCAAATAAACAAAATGTGATAAAAATAATTAGAATTATTATTATTGTTTTTTTTTTTTTTTTTTTTTTTTTTTTTTTATTTTT